GGGGGGTAAAGCAACTTTCAATCGTCCAATCATACAAAGCTTAGTTGCAAACCTGTGCACGATAGAAGAGAGAACGAAAGAAATCAATGTCCAATCTGGATTCGTACAACACAAATATTAAGACAAAATGAGCAATTCACTGAAAACATTGTAGAAAAAGTGTACACAGACATGCATAATATTTACAAGGTATTCACTGACTTTTTAAAAATATATTCTCTGTATCTCACTTTCGTCCTTAGAATTCTTGAGAAATTAAAAAAAAAATATTTCCCAAGATTTACTATGTCGTCGCTACCTTAGAATTACAAAGTTCTATCTGACATTTCTGGCCGTTTTGTGGTACTAAGACCATGAGTAAGAAGCCAAATTATTGTCTGTCTGATCTATCAAAATCGAAAGATTATGCGGAGTCTTTATCAAAGTATTCAAAGAATTGCGTTCGAAAAAGCTGAACATTTTGTGAAACTCGAATTATTTTACGCCAAATTTCTTTAAATTAGGTAAAGATGCTCTTATGGTCAAGAGGTTACGGTGTTTGCCTTTTATTAAATAGGCTTCGGGTTCGAAACATGACAGCGACGGAATATTTTGCTCTCTAAAAGATTCTTCCTTCACCTCCTTTCCTTCTCTCTATTCATGTTTTGTTGTCTGCTTGGGTTTCCACTGTGTGCCCCAAACCCCTCCCCTTTGCCCCTTCCTTTGGGCTCTTGACCTTTTCTGCTGCCAGTCTACTGCTAGATCTACTCCTTGGTCTCTTTTTACTGCTGTTTTTAGCCACATCCCTGATCGTATGGCAGGAAAGATCTAACACATAGCCTTCTTGGATAAGAGCAAAAATCTCAGAGGTCCCTTATGCAAGATGCCCTCGCTAAAGATACCTCGGTGGTTGGAAAATCGATAGTTCTATGAGCAGGTTCGGCGCGACTAGGGAAAATTCAAAATTCCTACGAAACTGGAAATGTGTAATGTGTCCCTTACACTCATATGACCTTAGGCATTAGCGACCGTCGTAAAACACTTACAAATAAACCAACAAAACAAAACAAAACAGTACCGTGCACAGAGCAGAGAGAACTTTGTAAGTCTAGAGTAGCCAAGTAGTCTAGATAGTCAATAACTTTTCGCTTTCTCTTCTCTTTACACGACCCCCCTCCCTCCCCCTCCCCCTCACATCCCCAACCGCCTCCCCCAACAGCGTCTGACGAGCACGTGCACACCGTCCAGTCAGTGGAAACCTGCAGATCAAAGTCTCAGAGAAAAGTACGCCATGGAAACCAAACATGAGACTCCATGTAACGTCCGACTGCCTTGCTCAAGAGTCTAGAGTGTGTGGATGTTGACTTGATCTTATCCCGACAGATTGTATAGGAGAACACGCTCAAGTGCCGATACACACTTGTCAAAGGGAACTAATCGGTATATTATTTTAAGATGAGATCGGGTCGAGTTGAGAATTGATATTGGTCTGTGTACATCATATTGAAAAAGACCTTGTCTTATTTTTATTTTTTTATTTTTTTATTTGTGGGGGGGGGGGGGGGGGTT